AAAATAGAGTAATTTGTCAACCAAACAGTATAGCCAATAATGTCCTCCACTTGAATATATCATCATTAAGTTTATACAGCATAACTGTAAAAGAGCATGGGCTTTTGGCTTGACCTGGGAATGAAGTCCTGTTCAAATCCTGGCTCCACTGAATAGTCATTTGACTCTACACAAATTATGTGAACTCTAAAGCTTTGGTTCTCTTATCTGAAAAGTGTGATGGAGTACCTACCTCAAAGAACTGATAAAGTACCCAACACAAACTACTCGATAAAGTTTTCTGCTTTAAAAATAAAATGCAAACAGAATTTTATTCTGCAAATACCGAAACCAGAGTATCTTGAGTTCTAGTTTAGACATGACTACTAAGCAGGTGACAGACGATTTTTAGCAAATCACTTGGCCTTTCTGAGGTTCAATTTCTTCACCTTTAAAATTGAGACACCAATACTTCCTCTTGACTATTTCAAATGATAGTTAGGAAAGACAAATGAATTGTCCATTCTAAATAATTGGTAAACTGTAATTCACCTAATACGTAGAATAAACTCCACAACATACAAATGCTTTAAAAGATATGCATGTTTAAAGCCATTTTCACTCTGCTCTCAGAGAAATTTACCTTACCAAGGCAAATAATGACCTCAATTTACAGTAAGCTAGCATGATGGCCCAAAGCATAACTTCAGTCCTCCAACTTCTCATCAACATCCAGAAATACCTTGGACTTAGTAAACTGGTTCACAAAAGTAGCTATAAAAGCAGCAAACATACAAACTCAACAGAACAAGCGTAGAAATATAAACTTAAAAATTATTTCCACAAATTGTAGTGAAATTCACTCAATACATTCCATGCTTTTAAAATGCCTTTCTTATTAAAAGTGAAGCATTAAAAGAAAAACAAAATCAAATCTGTTAGTATTGTTGACTGCTTATTCTAACACTAAAGCCAATTTCAAATTTTAGGATATCTGTCAAGACCGCATTTTAAATGGGATGAGAGAGGCTGTATTATGGGGTATTTAGCCTGGTTCCACAAACAGGCTTCAATGGCCCTTAAACTGCGGGCAAAATGGTGTCTGAATAAGTGTATGTATCCCCATGGTAAGAGTTTACAGCTTTAGATTCTCCGCAGGACTAGAGGTATAACTGGTAATACAAATACTCTCATCAAAAACTGATGAGAAAAAAAAGCTATTTACAACCTTTTGCTACCGATTTTAACTAATTACATTCTGCCAGATTCTAAAACAAACAATTCATATGAAGTCCTTACCCTATTAAAAATTCTGTGCATATCAGATATAAAGCTATACTATCCACATTATGTCTACCCTTCCATTTTAACACAAAAATTTTAAATTACACATTTACTGGTGTGTCCAGGATGACTTCTTTAAGCTTGACCAGTGATTGCAAATTTGAAAAGAAATAGGTTTGGGGTATTTTTTTATTGGTTTTTTTTTTTTTAATACTAACTTGAAACAAACCACCCCAAAATATAGATAATTTTATTTCTTCTTGGTTAAACTGTTTTGGGGAGTTATACTGAGAGATGAATTCTGAGCACATTATTTTGGTACTTTAGTCTGAATTTCTAATCAAGGAACTGATGCTCATCTATGCACAATCCATGGCAGGGGGAGGGGGTTAAGACTTGATAGATTATTGTGAGCCATGTTACAAGAAAGACATATAACCTACATCAAGTTTCATCATGTTCCAAACATCACACTCCCACCTGGTCATGGATAAATGTTAGTATAATGAGATATTGTTAATACCCTCTGCTCTCAGAGAACTTAAGTATCTTATGTTTGGGATACAGAAACTACATACAGGAAAAATAAAAACAACTTTTAAACAGGGAGAAAAAAAGCAACTTGCAATAGCTTGGAGTATAACCTACAAATAAAATTGCTTAATTTAAAAAAAAGAGAGAAGTATCATTGTGAGATTGTATTTAGGAGACAGATTTTTAAACTGCGCCTTTAAGGAAATATTAAGAAGCTGCTTAAGTATTTTTTAGAGATTACTGACTATATACAAATAGAAAATACTTTTTTGTTCATTAAAACAGGTGTCTTAGAGGGTGGCCAGATTTTGTGAACCTGGTTCAACTAACTTTATTTAACTTAAAGGCAATAAAAGCTAAATTCCACTTTGGGTCTCCATATTTCTAACTTTCCATTACTCCATTGCATTTTTGAGTGCTTCTAAACAAAGTTTTAGGGGTTTTTCAATCTTCAACAGAAACTTTCATTACATCTTTTCAAAAGATAATAAAGATTAACAAATTTTAGATACTATGTTCGAAATTAATTTTCCCCATTAAGTTTAAAAGAATTTTAAAATACCAACAAAAGCAGTTTTTCCTAATATAGATTAGATGGCAAAGGTATTCATTTTCGAATTTCAGAACAACAAAGCCATAATCACACAACTTATACTTGAGATAAAATACAGTTTATGGAAATAAGTATTAAGGACTTTTATCAGCATATCATAAACCGCCTGCACCAAAAATAAAAGTATCTCAAAATAAATACAAATAAGCTTAAAATTCTAGGAAAATTTAGAATGGCACAAATATTGGATAAAGTTTAGTTTAAATATGCGCAAAACCCTGTTTCCACCTGTCATTAAGTACTCAGTTGAAAATAAACTGAGCTCCTTTCCACTTTTATTATTGTTTTTAGTCATTAAAGTGGAATTCAAACACATAAAGTAAAATTCAAACACAAAAAACATAATACATTTTATAAATCAATTGTTTTAAAGAATCGTATTAGAAAATAGGTAGTTTGGAAGTCTTTCAAAATATCACACAAACAAAAATCCAAAACCCACATAAAGCTGTTCGTAAATGACCATTTTCTCAACAATCAAGTTTTTGTATATTAACCTTTTATCTAATTCACCTGGAACAACTAGGCCTTTGGGCCCAGTAGTTAACTTGCAATATATTTTGTTTCTTTAAAGGGATGGGAATAAAATAAAAGAATCTGACTAGAAAAGATCAATAGACGCTCTTTAATAATCAAAAGTATAAGGATTAATGCCTTTAATTCCAGAAAATAGGCCATGACTATCCCGGGATGGTATCTGTAGTACAGTATTCTCTTTAATATACCAGAATTTATCATAACAACAACGAATGGTACACTAAGAGAAAACATAATTAACTAATTTTTTTAAATAGGTATGAAGATTCCAAGCATCACTACGATTCATTTTCAGCTATTTAAGGACTGGCAGAAAGGTTTAATACACCCACACATACCCCAAGGGAGGGGAAAACTACCAACCTCCTCCCAGGGAGTTTAATGAAAATTAGCAGGTAAGAGAGGCCTCCGCAGCACGCTGAAAAATCAAAGAGGGCGGCCGGAGGGTCCGGACAGCGGAGGAAAGCCTAGTTCTCGGCCCCACGTCCCCTCACCTTCCCGATAGGAAAAGGAGGCGAAGGTTCATTAGTGCCTTCGTTAATTGACACCTGTAATGAAGAAACTTTCCAAGTGCGGAGACCGCTCAGGCCCGGCCTGGCCGCAGCTCTGCGGCGGCCCCCTCTCGGGCGCTCAGGTAACCGGGCCGGGCTGGGCCCGAGGCGGCGCAGCGGGCGCGC